TACCAATTTAATCAAATAATACAAAATTAAGAAGACCTAGTTTGTCTTCTTCAACACTTTCTAAGGACCAACAATGGAGCTTTGATATTTTAAAGTAAATTATTAGAATTTAAACAAAATTTAAGTATGGATAATAAACTCTGAATGATTTTTATAATAATTAACCATTAACTTCTAATTTTAACCCAAAATAAGAAATTCAAATTTCCAAAACTGAATAATTTATGGTGTTCTTGGCGAAGAAAAACAATTGCAACACACACAAAATAGATACATATTTTCGCAATAAAATAAAAAACAACAATAATTTTTAAAAGATCAGTCCTTCAGGGATAACCGATGCAAAAAAAAAGTGATACATTATTCTGCTTTAGATGATAGAAAGCCCCGAAAGGGTTTCAAAATTACAGCTCATAGTTAACTTATGGAGTAGCATATTACCTAGGTTTGGCCATGTTTTTTTTTTCCTAAAAAAATATTTTAATTCTATAGTAGATTCAAATAATTCAAGACTTACATTTCTTTTAGTACTAGGCAGTGATGGTACGTGCCAACACATGCCCAATATTGTGAAAGTTGGAACAATTATTTTTTATCAACCTTGTTTTAATATGAAACTTCAAATTAATACTAAAAGCTGATGTATGTAAGTCATTATCAAATCGTATGCATCTGTATACTAATTGCTGGATATTATGTAAATAACACAACGATAAACATCAAGGCATTAGTAAAAACATTCAAATTGTCTTTTATCTAACTGCTAATGTATTTATTTCACATATTTCAAAAATTAATTCCTGTAACTTGAATATTTCACATACAATGGATGTTGGACCGCCTCAGTTGCTGGCATTTTCTTCATCCACATCATATACCTTTCCTTTACATGAAACTGCATGCAATTCTCTGCATGCATAACGAATATTAACTTTGGAAAAATGAACAACTTGAATGAAATATGCTCATAAATATTGTCCCATAAACATGATGAATATAAATGAACTGAACATATGGAATTCTTAGGAGAAAAATTGCAACGCCAAGTTTCTGGAACTGACTCAAAGTTAATGAATATAATGACCATGAATCTCAGGCACATATATATCTGCTTCTGCCTTTTACTAATTTTCATATTGCAAATTAGTTTCCACAGAATCGAACACTTAAAGCTCCACAGAATCGCTAGCAAAATAATGACAAAGTCTAATAAAAACCACAAAAACTTAAAATTTACGTTTTCTTTTGTTAAGGAAACTAATTTTGGGGGTTAATAGTGAAATATGTAGCTAGGGTTTGAGGTTCTTATGTTCACTACGGATTTCACTCAAAGAGAACACGTAAAATTTACGAATTATATATTCGACTGAAAAACTTTATACTTTTCAATTTTCTTCTCAAGTCTTAACCCAAAGAATGACAATTTAATACAAATAATAGAAACTATATGCACAGTAATAGCACGTGCATGTAAGAATTCAGCTAATGCATGTTTACATACATTTATATGGTATCACAACATAAAATATGAGATTTAGATAGCAGATACCCTGAACATATCATAAGTTTGCAGCCACTACTACTGATTGTTAAAAAAATATTTGCAACTTATTCATAGAAAAACTAATAAAGTCAAAATCGATTTGTTTAGCCCTATAAAAACATCATATTTATAACCTGAGCCAGAAAAGAAACCATTGAGCATCTTAAGGGTGAAAATGTATAGGACACAAAAATAAGATTTTAAAGGGATAAATAGAAAAAAACTATACTTTCTGCTCAGCTGTGATTATCAATGGCTTGACCTCTTTAAGCTCTAAAATGTACCACTTTCATTAGTTTCTCTTCTCCCTTTTCATCTTTCTTTACTCTCTTTTCTCATCGTTTACTCTCTAAAAATCAGTTTCTCACATCTTATTAATAATTTTAATTTTTTCAGATCATGGCCTTGTCTTTCTTGTTTTATTTAACTTTTTAAATCAAAATCTTACTAAAAATTAGAGGTGTCAAATTCAGCCCAAATCATTTGACTCGCCCAACCCGTCCAAATTTTAATGAGTTGGGCATCAGATATATTAATGATGGGCTGAGTTTGGGCACAACCCAACTAAACCCATTTATTTTTCTAGCCCAAATCAGCCTATAATTTAGCCCAAACCTGACCCGTGAATAATTTCTTCCATCCACTTTTTGTAGAACTCTTTTGTATCTTTTGCACAAAGACAGAATGGTGGGTATTTGAGAAATGAATTTTTACCTCCTATATCAAAGGTTGATACCTTATTTATTTTAAATAAATACCCTTTTAAAAAAATTATATTTCATAGCTACCTTTTGATTTTTATAGCTAAATATCTATTTATGGTCACTTCCTACCCTTAAGCTATAAAATACGCTTTGTATTATTTTTCTCTCCCATTCTTTCAGATTTTTCTCCACTCTCTCTCTCAACGCTTTGTTAATAGCTAACGAGTTCTCTCCTGCTCCGTAAAGAAAATTCAATAGCAAGTTGGTTCCTGAAATTCCTGCCTAGTGAAGCAGGATTGGAAAATACAAACTCGTGAAATAATTCCTCTTCCTCTTCACGCCATTTCTCTGCCACTACCTCTCCCATATCATAAAAACCCAACCTAACAAACCTTTCCTCACCAAGGGTTCTTGATCGAAACGGGAACAGTGACGTTTCGAGTCAGAATCGCAGCCCTCTCGACGAGACGATATTAAGGCTGTTCTTGAATAAAGACGACGGAGTTTGGGGCTGAGCAACTTGAAGATTCTGTTATCTTTTTTTAATTGTATTTCAATATATCTCGTTGTATTTCTATGTATTTCATTGTCGTTTTTTTCATTGTATTTCAATGAATCGTGTTGTATTTCATTGTATTCATTGTCTCGCTGTATTCCATGAATGTATTCATATATATATATATATTAATTAATATAATGTATGTATTCAAATGTAACTGTAGTATGTATTCATATGTTTTTGCACTATAGATGAATCTCGAATTTTATTGGTTGAAAACAGAAACACCCACGAACGATATCAACAGAAAAGGGAAGGATTAGAAACTCGGCGGTTGCTCTGTTTTGTTGTATTTATCGGCGGGAAAAAATATTCAGCATATTTCGCGTCAAATACAGATTATGGGTGATGTAATTGAGTTAGTTGAGTTATATTAAGAGTATATTGTGTTAATTGATTCACTTTCCATTTAAAAATAGCTGAATAGACCACGATTTGCGCTATTTATGTTATTGTATTCACAAATACATGTCGTGTATATAGTCGAATACAATAATTGTCTAGCTGGAATCCCCCGTTTCACGCCGAGTTTTGCTATTGTATTCATGAATACAGTAGCTTAAATACATCGAATACACTTTAAAAAAACTGAAAACATAGCTATAGGAAATAATATAGTAAATGATAGTTATAACTAGCTAATAACCACTAAACAATAGTGATGTGTGAAAATTTCTCTTTGAGAAACAGCTGTAGTGATCATATGTTTTCATTTTTTACTTTCTTATTAGTAAGAAAAAGAAAATCTTACGTTAACAGATGTTTAAGAAAGGGTGACAAATTACAAAACATGTGCACCCTGTTTAAGAATGCCTAAATATTTGAACAACACTACAAGATCTAATCCAATTTATTCAAATTCATTTACGAGATGCAGTTCAATCACAAGTAATTTTCCAAGTTTTCAAAAATAATTAATTACTTGTCGAATATTTACTATGCTTTTGTATAATGGAATTAAGATAAACGTACGCCTGTGTTAGGGCATCTATATTTCTGAAAGTACTCATTACCAGATTAAGAGCTCGTTTGGCCAAGCTGTCAAAAACTGCTTATTTTGAAAAATAATAATTTGTGTTTGACCAATTCATTTAAGAAGTACTTTTTACAGTATTTGATAAACAAATTGTATTTGACCAATCTGTATAAAAAGTGCTTTTGAGTGTCAAATTACCAAAAAGAATAGTACCAAATTTTATAATTATTATAAAAAGATAAATAAATTTAAATATTTATTATAAGAGACTGTTATTATTTTTTTATTTAATTTAGTTAAAATATAAACATAAAGTAAACATACGTACTAAATATTTAAATGAATTTGAAAAGTTTACATACTATCCAAGCGAAAGAAGCAAAAACAAATGAAAAGACAAAAAAACGAATTTGTAAAGTTTACATGATTCATGTATCTGATGGTAGAAAAGTTATATATATATAAGAAAAGAAAATGTAAAGGATAATTTTTGGAAAATATAAATTTATAGCGAGGATAATTTTGTCTTGAATAAATTAATTTTCTGCTTCTGCTTCTTGGAAGAAGCTAGAATTTTCTGTTTTTTCCCAAAAGTAGAAAAACTACTTCTGCTTTGGCCAGAAGTACTTTTTTATTTTGGCCAAGCACCTTAAATTTTCAAAAAGTACTTTGTTGACAAAAAAAGTACTTTTGGCATCCGAGAAGCTTGGTCAAACAGGCTCTAAATCTAATATTTATTTCTTAATTTAAATTTCCATTATTCCAAGTCCATTTATGATGAATATAATTTTAACTCACCAGCTACGAGTTACTTTTTTGTACCAAAATATTTAATAGATTTTATAGTTATATTATATCTTAGTCGACTAATATTTTAATACTTTTTTTTATTAATAACATTGAGTTTTGATTTGTTTATAAGTTGAAATATTATAAAGATTTGGACCAAGTTGGTGGATTGTGTTACAACTCATTGTTTAGCCCATCTTGACCCAAATGAAGTTTGAGCAGGGTTGACATTGACCCATTTATTGAGTCAGTCCATTTTTACCCGCCCAAATACAGCCTAAACAACCCATTTGCCCCTCCTACTAAAAATATGAACCGACCAAATTTTCATAAAAGATTGTCTTAGATTATTGAAACTCATAATTCATTAAGAGAAAGGACGAAGAAGCTTGAACCTTTATAGCATACTTAAAATAAAATTAAAAAAAGGTAAAAAAAAAAGGTTTCCTTTTAAGTTTCAAGTCGCAAAAGGAAAGAGGAAGTAAATTGAAACTTAGTAGGTAATAAGGAAATTGATCTCACACTTTTTTCTTTAACCTCAGCGCAGGGTCGAGGTCAGAGTCAGACTCGTCGCCAATAAACTCAGCGTGCTCATCGTCTTATTCGGCCGTGCATCTAGCCATTCCCCTGGTCAGCATGGGAAACTTCCTGGGCTGAGTCGGAAGACAAAGCCGCCCTACACCCGGGACGAGCGGGATCATCAACAACAACATTCACGACTCCTCATCCTCTTCAAGTCGAAGGAAGCAACAACATCAAATCCCTCCAAGCTAGGCACATCTGAGGCTGCCCCTATACCTCTCTTGGCCAATGTTGCCACGGTAACTTGCACCGCGATCTCGGGAGAGACTTTCGACAAGTCAACTGCCACTGATATACCGTCTCCCCCATCTATGACTTTCCTCTTCCTAGGCCTCTGGTCCGTATCACGCGGAGAAACTTTCTCATCTTCAATACAAGGAGGAGCCAAAGGAAGAACGGTCGTAGATGTTGAAATGGGGGAAGGAGTAGAGGAAGCAACGCCCCTCCTTCTCCTAAAAGATGGCATCGGTGCCAGGTTCTTTTAAGCAACCTCCTTGGTGGGGCCTAGAAAGAAACATAAAGATGAGCACAATAAAATGGGGAAGTACAAATATAACAACATCCAAAGAACGACGTTACCTTTCGGAGGGGAGTCGGTTTGTATCTCTGCCAAAAGCTCGACCAATCACGAATCCCCACAGTGCAAGGAAGGGCTTGCCTAACCCCGTTGGCGAGGTGCGTCACCAGCTGGAGGCTACGAGCAGTAGCTACAAAAACGAGAAGAGTTAATTCGTAAAGTTAAAACACACAATCTCATGAGGAAACGCAGAAAAGTAAAAGCACTTACGGGCGTGGTTCCAAGCCTCAGGAAAGTCTGCGACGTCAGCCACAACAAACTCGATCTTGACATAAAAGAAGTTGAGCCAAAATTGTTGACTACCCTTGTCATCCGTCTTGACAACGAGGGATTTGCTTCCACGGTGGCGAATATTTAACATCTTACCGCAATAGAAGGTTGGCATAAACAAGTGTACATTATGTCGAAGAGTGATCTCAACATCGGCCAATTCGGCGAATTTTGACAATATCTTGACCAAGGGCGCAAGTTGGATGGGGCAGACACGGTAGTAGCAGCAGAATTCCTCCACCAAAGGCGGAAAAGGAAGAGAGTAGCCGATGGTGAAGGGGTAGGCGTAAAGGGCGCAGTACCTTGGATGGTCGATATACACTTCGTCCTTGTCCGTGGGTACGATCTTTACTTGGTCAGGGATGCCAAACGTGTCCTTGAACTCCGCTAAACACTTGGCCGTCAAAGAGGATCGAAAAACTTCAGCCACTACCACCGCCTCCAATTGCCGTTGCAAGTATGGTTTCGCATCGGGGTTACGAGGAATAATCTCTTCCACTGAGGGAGGAGCCTCCACTTCAACGGTGGATATGGCATCTCCTCCGCGGACGAAGGCCACGACAGCCAGTGTAGTAGCTTGAATCTCCTCATTTACATCAGAAGACAAGTTAGACATGGTTGTAAGATTCGGGAAATTTAAAGAAGTGAAAGGTCTGAAAAAATGAAAGAAGGCTTTAGAAGCAATAAACAGAGAAAGGAAGTTTAGGAAGAAGATGAAAGAAATTTCGACAATAAAAGTGAAAGAAAGATTCAGAATCGGTGATCACCCTTCTTTTATAATGAACGAACCTTGGGATTCGAGGGGACTCGTCATGATTACAGTAGGAGGCGAAACGGCAGAACCAACCGGCGAGTTGCACGTGTCCTGATGCAACGCATCGAAATCGGCGTCATCATGATGAATGACATCACGTCCCATCTACATCAGGTTCTCTCCAAAGGTCACCCGGGAAAATCATGACAACATGAGTTTCAAATAAGCGGCCCATGTAACACTACGTCATCCGTCTCTGACGACGACTACGACCTATATTATCCACTTATCCAGTCCATTCCAAAGTATGACCTCAACAAGCAGAGGGACTAACTATATAGGTGAAAAGCTTCATTTCACGCATTTGATCTGGTCAACAGTGATAAAGCCTTTGAAGATTGTGATGTGTCAACGTTGTGACGTATCGACCTGACCCCAAAAGGGCAAGGTCATGTGAGAAGACAAATTGTCGTCGAGGTCGAGGTGGTTTAATGGAAGACAAGGGCGAGCATCCGTTTTCGGCGCACAGTAACAACTAGTTTTAAGATTTAGTTTTCCTAGAGAATATTGTAGTGAATATTCCTTTCCGTTGTATTATCTAGTATTTTTTGGCCCATGTACTCTTATAAATAGAAAGGGATGTAGTTCTAGAAAGGGATCAAACATTTTTTTGTAAAGAACATCATTGACATTTTCTCTGAAGATTCTCTTTTTATTGAATACATACAAAGCCTAACTTTACACTTTTTTTCTTATCTTTCTCTCTCGATCCAAGAAGAATCGGAATATTCAACTGCTTATTATTATCCATCATTGTCAGAAAGCTTAGTGGAAAATCTCACTCTTGTCGGGTGAACTTTGTCCCATTTATTACTTAAACGCCATTTATTATCATTTATTGCTATCTTTTACGTTTTCAAGCCTTTATTGCTCCATTATTGTTCTAGGATATTCTTATCTAATAGCACACATTTAATATCCAACATAAAAGTACTAGGTCCCCTTGTTCTATAAATCTAATAGTACAAAAATCTAGATCTAATTTTTTGGGTTATACAAAATGTTCATCAGTACACAGAATCAAATAATTTAGGATTTACAATTCTTTGACGTAAGATAATTATTATCTATAAAATTAGAATGGTAGTGTACCCCAAAACAAAAATTGGTAAAATAATGTATCTCCTCCTAGAAATATAAAAGCTAACATGAGTACTTATTGAAGAATGTGTACATTCAAAGAATGGAAGCTTTATTTGATGAGGAGAAACATTTACAGATTGTATAGCCCTCACCTTCAAATAAAAATCAACAAATATATACTTCAAAACTCAAGTATAACTTGATGTAAAGGAATGCCTATACATGAATTAATCAATTTGAACTTTGAATCTCCCTTTACCTATCTCTTCATTCTTCTGCAGTAGATCAATAAATCCCTGCAATAATGCAACTTCTCAGAAAAATAATTTTTGTTTAGCTGATGCTTACGGAGTCAGTTGGAATCGATTTGGAAACGTCCAGATGGTTCAGTCGACAAGTCCCCAGAAGGAATTCTGGGAGTTCTTCTGGTGTATTACCCTGGGGAAAAAATCATATATTTGCATAAACTAGCCTTTTCATGCAGTATGAATAGCAGTGTTGTTCAAAAACAAGATAACAGGACGTAAATAATTTCAGTAGAAAGACAGTGGTTTTTACCTGTATCAGAAATGCCATTTCAATAACAAGATTGTTTAAGTAACCAAGAACAAGACTGACCACACCCCTTGCAACTGTTGATGATCCAACATCAATGCCAAGCTGAAAATTCAACACAAATTGTCAATACTTGATATGAGAGCATAAAACACAAAAAGAGCTTTGCAGTACTCTTACCTCTAAATAATTTCTTCCCCGGAAATAATGCACTTCCAATGCTTGACCGACCAAGCAAGCTTTCTTACCAACGCTCTGCTTCACTATCCAGGATCCCTATGTACGATATAGTATATATATATATATATGATTGTATGTTCAAGTAACGAAAGTTGAAGTGGATTAATGAACTTCAGATAGTTAAAATCTTGCTTCACACCAAAAGAACCAACCTTGGAGATGTATGGTATGAGCTTAAACCTTGAATTCCTAAAAGAATCATCTCCACTGATAAAACGCTCGAGTAAGGGTGTTTCTTCCAAAGGAGATCTCAACATGTAATATAGAGCAAGATTATAAGTGGTTGCTCCTGGAACCTGACCCATTTAACAAATACCAATCAGTAAAATTAACTGTTAAGTCTATGATGATTATATATAAGCAGCATGCAGTAATCACCTGGATGTTGATGATAAAAAAGAACTCCGGCCTACCCTGAGCAGCATATCTCTAAACATTGCCAACAAAAAGTTTGAGATATGAAACATGCATATATTGACTGGTTTTATTTTTTCAAGAACAAGAAAGTACCTGAACTATGCTTCCTGGGCGACCGGCAAGGTCATCTTCACGCCTGTCAGATCTTAACCAATCGGCTGCAACCATCTGCATTAAGGTACTCTTTGCCTTAACCTAATAGAGAAGGATAAACTTATCAGAATTCAATAACGAGGAAAGAATATGAACCACATAACACGGTACTCAGGCAATGCTTCAATCCTAAGTATTACAACTATTACAATCACCATCAGATGATAAACTAGAGAAGCTTTAAATCTTTCAACTCTTTCCGGTTCTATCAGAGCTTCTCTAATTTTGTTGTTGAGGGTAGGGATCATAGCATGCAGAAGCATATAGTAAGGTTGCTACTTAAGAACTGAATCTCTGAACGTTATTTCTTTCATTTTATTGTGTAAAAAAGGAAGAAAGGGCAACAATAGCAAGTGTTTGAAATACTAAGATTGACTATTGTAAGACAAGCTTGTTATTGAACTGGACATTTATTCTTCGCTGAAAGAAAGTACTAAACCACATTGATTAATTTGCTGAGACAACCTTTTCCTGGTCTGCCAGGTAGCTTTCAGCGCGAATCAAAAATGATGATGGATCCGCAGCAGCCCAACTGCAAGGCATATTAAAACTTTGATCTTTTGGAAGAGTTGCTCCATAGCACAATGACACACTCTCTTCCCGAGCCATTTCTTGCAAGTCCATATAACCCTTTTTCTGGACTGCAACATTTGAAAATGTAAACAAGATATATTAACTATGTCAGAGTAACAATTATAATGTATTGGTTATTTCCAGCTCATAACTGCCTTTTAGTCAAACAACACTAACCTGCAAGATCATGTAATTTTTTCACAATATTTGCAGTGGTCAATTTTGTGTGGAACGAGTCCTGCATATTACAATATGAAAGAACCTTGTTATGAAACAACTTGATACTTTACATATTTTGGTAGGCTTAAACAAGGGAATACGCAAATTAATTGGACAATTAACCATTTAAAATATAATTCAATAAAATAAAAAGCTATTTAAAAATTTAGAGACCAGAGGGTACCATAAAACCCACTTCTGGACTTGCATTGGAAGTCCAAGCATGGTCTGAGTGTTCGTCGTCTGAAGGTTCAGGAACATCATAAAACTCATCAGCCGCATCATCCAATCCCGTGAGATTTGAGGATGCTGGATTTTTTCCATCATTTGTCACTTTGTCATCCTCGATCATTTTATAATCAACTTCTGTTTTGATCTCTTCCTTTTCACTAACAGGCAGATCAATATCCCTTGTTAGCGCAGCTGGTGACAATTCCGAGAAGTAGTTCCCTTCCTTTGCTCTGAACATCTCTCTTAGTGCTGCAAAGTAAAAGAGCACAGACCAGTCATTTCAGGCGAAAACATGCACCAAGGAGAAGTAGAATGATAAAATGAAATAAAATGTCCATTTCTTATTTGTGCCTACCAGCAATTCTCTCGAGGACGCGGATTGTTATCGATACTGAGGCCCCTTTCTTCAAATAAGGTTTCCAGAACTTCCAATCAATAGCAAGCATGTGCTTTACAATAGATGGTTTACCGTGTTTGGTTGGAGTTATAACATGTCCACCACCTGAACGATTCCAAAAAGGAAAACAGAAAAAAAGAATGTTTATGAATAGAAGTGTAAGGGAAATCGTGCCGGCCTTCATTGAAATATATAGTTTTAGGAAACAGAAAAGGCAATCAAGATCAGATTAAAGGACAAAAAATTGAAATGAAAGTATTACAAGGACATTATTACTAGGAATTTATGCAAGGGGATTTCAGAATGCAGGGTAAGGCTGCGTACAATATACCCTTATGGTCCGGCCCTTCCCCGGACCCCGCGCATAGCGGGAGCTTAGTGCACTAGGCTGCCGTTTTTACAAGAATGTGATGCTCAAGATTTGAACTTGTGGCCTAAAGCAATTTTGAACCTTCGTTTGCCATTATACTAGAAAAAGGGATTCAGCATTTTATATATAACAAAAAAATTCATATTTGTGCCATTTTTGTAATAAATTTTTCCGACGAAGGAGATTCAGCTCTATATAGCTCTGCCCCTGGTTGTAGGCATGTGAAAGTAGGACGGAAACAGAAAACTACTAAATGACTTAGTATTCGCTTACACTTCTTTTATGTAGAGAGTGTGCTTTAGCTTCTGTGGGAAATTCATGACTTTCTTTCATCCTTTTTATCTAGGGTCTTATCCGAAAGACTTATATTTCATATACCTTTTTTTACTTTGTCAGTAAGATCACAATTTTGGAAAACTTTTAAACCGTTCTTTTCTCTCTATTGATTGTTCCAGATAAGGAAATATGCCAGACAATCACAGCTATTATCTCGTCGACGTTTGTAAACTGTGGACAAATACTCAGAATGCTCTGCTACAGTGCTTATTTAACTGACAAATGATTTGGAAAAAAAAAAACTGACAAATGAGAAAATGAACTAGTGTGAATGCTGCTGACACCCTGTACTCAAGGAAAGTTAACCTTCCCATAAAATAAGAACATTCAACTAGAGAAGCAAATTAAATGGAGCTAAATTAACATTTCAAATGCAGATTAAAAGTTCAAAGTTAAAGCATACATTACTTTTAATGCAGGCACGGACATATCCATTTTGTGGCGGACACTTGCTGTGGATGACAGAATGATAGAGAATAACTGCATATACACAGAGTAAAACTTAGCATATGGAAATAAAATTTGACAAGTTTATATTCATTTCTTTGATTACCATATGTGCCATCATCCTCTCTTCTCCAGTAACGACGTAGGAGCAAATCTCTTCTTTTTGATCCCCTGCAAAATGAGAGTTAATCCAAGCTTACATTGTGAGGTCAAATTTATAAGAGTTATGAGCCTCACCACGGCAGCCAATGGTTATATAGTTGAATGTGTACTATATCTGTATGACCATCGAGGTGCTCAACCACACAGCCTCTGTAGAAAGAGAAGTCCCATCTGCAAAAAAAAAAAAAGTATCCAAAGTCTTCCTTTTCAAATTGCAAATACATGAACAAATATCCTAAAGATACATAACATCATTCAACTTCATTTAGGTGGTCTATATTAGTCATCCGAAAAGAACCACATAGAAGCCCAAAATTGTTAGTGGTACATGTATATGCCGAGTAATTGAAAGAACTGGAAGAAGAGTTAGAAATCTTACTCTGATCTTGAGGGACCAAGACACATGAGTGTGCGGAAAATGGCTTCAGATGTTCCTTCA